TAGGGACATTTCAGAATGATGGTCAAATCGTGAAGGCATTCTGCCCATAGTAAATTGGCCTTCCCGGCAGCAGGTCACGGTCATTTCGTCGAAAACATCGTGCCCTCTGCAGCTAGATTTCGCAGTGCAGTGGTTAGATACACTATCATCTAATCCATCGGCCTTCCAGACCCTGCCGATAAGTGAATATTTACTGATAACACACCGGCTGCCAGCACCTTTGCTACATAAGGCCGTTCTCCTTCCATTCTTGCCCTTTAGAGCTGTCGTAAGGTGGAACGTCATGTCTTGGCAATGAGCTACTCTAGTGCATGCTTTGGCTGCCGTAGCTACAGTTGCGCGGGCACGGTGGGTCGAAAATTATGGGGATTGCTGACAGGAGGGTCTTGTGTAGCCGACCCTGACGCGAATATGTGTTCATTCGGCGATAAAAGGGTATGTACGGAATGCCCACGTTTCAAGCTTTTGATTGGATCAATCCAGATGCAAATCGGATAAGTGTTGGCTAATCTACTGTGAGTTTTGTCCAAATGTCCCTAATTTTTGTGGACGGAGGACTTTTCCCACTCGACACGGAACTTGGCTCGGGAATAGACTACAACAGTAAATATTTGGAATTGTTGAACAGCCATCTAACAACCGTCTATCAGCCGTCCAACTAATTCCGTAGAATCTAGAATTGTATTGGTGGAATATCGGATTATTAATATTCGTAAAATATGATATTGTGTCAATAATAATATTGGACTTTTACCACATTTTTGGAATGAAATAGACATAAATCCATAGCAATAGCGGGCAAGCTACAGCAAAAAGTCGTTTTACAGTATCAAATCGTCTGAATCTTTCAAACAACTTACAAATAGATGTAATTGCTATTACTGTCTTCCCGAATAGATAACGAATTATTTGTTTCTGGAATCCCAACGCCATTTTATAGTATACTGTCGGAGTCCAACTTGTACAATAACGTATAAAAAGCAGATTCACTGTAGCGTCTGCGAGTACGTTACTACTTAAATCTCTCAAAGTAGCTGAGCATGTTTCCTAAACTAAGAATAGTATAGGTACCTCGCACGTTTGAATCAACTATCTCGTTCTGTATTTGCTCCTCGTGCTTGAGTGCTCCAATTGAAAAAGCGAACAAGCCTTCCATTGTCTTTCGAATTCCTTTCTGTCGCTAATCAGTAAAACCGAAAAGGCGAAACACGAGTATCACTGAATAGAGCTGACGAGTCATGTTTGCAGCTCTCTAACCATCGACATATCGTCAGGTGGTGTCAGCAAGTCGCTTCGCCAGGTTCTCCTCGCGGTAAATCTTCTTGAGATAGCCAGCATACACCTTGTAGACAAATCTATACTTCTTCTCAATGGCTGGATCAGACTTGATGAGCAGATTGATCATCCTACCGGTTCTTTTGTTCGCGCGCCATTCCTCAAACACTTTCTTTTTCTGCGCTAAATTTCCTTTGAGAACTTCGTCAAGCGTGTTCTTGTCAAGCCAACCGCCAAGAGGTTTCTTGGCGAGAATATCGTCGGCGCGCTTCGGGTCGAGGGCCTCGTCGAGCTTCTGGATGTTAAACAGCTCATCAATGGTAATGGTTTTGGGAACCTTGACCATCTTGGTGATGGCACTAGCATCAAGCGTACGTAGTGATCTCTTATTAGCACCGGTAGTCTGAGCAGTGTCGATGGAGAGTGTCGAATCGTCGGTAGCAAACTGGTTCTGTTTCAAGGTAGTCAATGCGAACACAGTCTTGCTGTGGACTTGAAAGGTGACTGCGGCTGAGATCACGACGTAACACGCACGCATTCTTGGTCTAACGGTGTTGCAGCTGAAAGAGTCTTTGTAGTAGCGTAGCGAATTAGGATATTACTTCCTCAACAAAGAATTAGTAGAGCTTGCGGTTTTCTATGTAATACGAGGTACTGTGACTAAACGTCCTATCCTGCGTGATGGGATCGGAGTCATGGGACGACCACCGGTGATGACGGGATGCTCTGGATATTAGGACTTGGAACCATAGAGCTCAGGAATCACTGCAAATTGAGCCTGACCGAACTTCAAATATGTCGTTGTTTCTTTTCTGCTCTTTTTTTTTTTGACTAGATATGTAAAGTGGCAACCATATTCCAGTTTAAAAAATCGATTTGAAGCTTGCTGATGTCACTGCATCGAATATGCTATGCAAACTATTTACACTTTCGATAATTACATGAATTTGCACGACTTATCGAGTATGATTTATTATACCACTGCGCAAAATAGTGCGACTCATTCATCGATTTAGCAGATCGACCACGAATTGCATCGTGTTGGCCCTTTTAGAAAGTGCCGTTCTCTGCCAAACCTGGCTGGAAGTATGATTTGTTGCAACTTGCCATTATTCTCAGTAGTCATAGTTCTTGGAGGCCCCAATTTATTCCTGTTTAAGGGAACACACGATCCCCTCGTTAGTAATCCTTCGGCTTGGAATACTCCGGTTCCCCTTGACCAGTTGCATTCAAACCCAAAATATTATTCCATCTCACCCCTCAGTTGTAAAATGGAATATATTTGAAGGCAAACATACGTATTATGGGGTGATTAACTATGAGAACAGTCATAACTGTACAAGATCATTATCGCTGCCACG